GGGGCGTCGGCCACTGGGGGCCTAAGCCACGGACCCAATTCTTTGCCAGAGTCTGTATTTCCTGAAGAGTTTAACCTGGGTGTCTTCAAGGCCTGAGTGAATAGGTCCATTTGCGAATTTTAACTTAAGTTTGTAGTAGTATGAACTTAGCTTAAGCTTTGGTTTAGAAACTAGATTCAGGCAATTAGGGTTAACGTAATATAATCTTATAAATTAATTAATACATAATGACACTGTATCTCGTTTAGCGTCATGTTGGTTATCTTAGTATAAACACGGACTAAAAGTGTATGGATTTCATAGTAATTTGACAGTAAATTTTAAAATTATAGAATGTTCTTTATAGATTAAACCGTAAACGAGCTGATGTATCACCTGATGGTAAGGAATCGGCGTCATCCATAGACACCCGGAACACTAGAGGCGTTACAGGTGCGTTAGTGCGAATTTGAGGATTGTTAAAAGTTCAAGGATTAGGGAAGGTGAGTAATTGGATCTCCAGTAACCTCATTCACACGACAAAATACAACGCAAGCGTCGAGCCGGCCCAATCGTGCCGAAGCACGGCTCTCTCACTCAATTAATCCAACTCAAACCTAATTTTAAAGCTTTTCTTTGATATTCCGCGTGCCAAACCCAAAGAGATACCTACGAGATTTCGCAGACCTAATATTGTCTAGTCATACAAGTAAACACTGTTTTATCTAGACCAGCTCTTACTGCTACATAGTACATAATTATAATTTCACTTCTTTCTAAACATTTCCTTTGAGATTGCATGTTGGCGTGCGTGTTTGTTAAAAAATAATTTCTATAATCCGCTCTGCGGTTGAAAGTATGGCAGGAGTTTGTGATTTCAAGAAAATTGTGGGTTATTGAAGCATTGAGTGGCTAGTGGCATTTTGTTTTGAACTCAATACTTGGTAACTAGTTAGTTTGTTTGAGTAGCTTTTCTATACTTATATTAAAACTTTTAAATTAATTATTATGTCTTTCGGCTTACTCATTTATTTATTAAGTGTCGTGGTGGCCCGGAGGTTTAAGACGCCCACTTCTCATGCATGAGGGTGCGGGTTCGAAACCTACCAACGGCTAGTACCAATGTGACTTTTTCCGAGTTATATGTCTAAGATTATTTAGACACCACTGACAAACGGTGAAGGAAAATCATCGTGAGGAAACCTGGACTTATAATTATAAGTTTGAAATCGCCAACCCGCATTGAGCAAGCGTGGTGATTAATGCTCTAACCTTCTCCGTGTGAGAAGAGGCTTTGCTCAGCAGTGGGCATTTATAGGCTGTTGATGATGATGATGATTTATTTATTTGACGAGGAACTCTACTAGTTACAAGGCATGCTAGAGGCTCATATTCATGTTCATGAGTAGTATTCCGCGACCCGCGAAGCGGTTACTGTCGCACTGGTACTCTTAAGAGTAAAGTAACTTAGTTTGTCTATTCATGGAAACTATTATTATACATATTTTCACAATAGTTATTATAGTGTGATTGTAGTCAGGATTTCCAAGTTAATGGATAATTTTTTTTCATATGTTTGGGATTAGGATAATTTCCTGTATCGTGGGTGTATTCACATATATAGACACTCTAATCGAAAGACATATTTAGAATTATTTTGCACTGGTATTGTATATTGAACACCCGGAACGGCAACTGGCCGTACAGCCATGCGCTAATAAATTAGGCAGTCGTTTTGAATCGTTAAAAAATATTTGTATGTAATTTCTAAATATACTTTTACATACATCATACTCTTGTCTCACTTGGGGGTAGGCAGACACTATGGAACGCGAATTGCTACGATTTTTACCGACTTCAAAAAAGGAGGAGGTACTATGTTCGGGTTATTGTTTTTTTTTTATTTGTTTGGTCGGGCATTACTCCGCCGTTTGTAAACCGATTTCCAAAATTCTTGTTTTGTTTTTGGGACCATCTCGGTATACTCCCGAGATGGTCCCATTTCCTGACTTCTAACCTCAGTGGGTGGGTAACCTATCAGTACTAATGTTAGTTATTTTTTTCTTTTTAGTTTTGACTTTTTGTTTGTTATTAGTTTTTGGTTACATACCTCTTTTGCGTCGTCAGTATTTTCATGTACGTTTGATGACATATTAAAAAAACGGAACTTTTATGATAAATTAGAAACTTCTGAGCGTCCTACATCGTTACAGATTTCCATAAATCAAAATTGCACTTTACAACTTCGGGCGAAATTGATCAGAAACCCATTAAACTGTTTGCTACTGTAAGCTGGGTGAGATTAACCGACGCTCATTATAGGGGCTGACCACTTAACCAGTAATTAATTTGCAAAAGAGCTATACTCATTTGGCTAAAATATTACTCGGAAGTATTTTGTTGGAATAATTTATCATAATGTTTGTAAAATTTTATTAAACATAATATAACATCACGCCTTTCATTTCCGAAGGGTGAGGCAGGTGCAAAATACGGCACTTACCAAATGCCACTGTACAATGTAACATCCACTTTTTACTATTTATGTTATGAGTCCCATGTAATAGGGGGTGAGACTATTGCTATATACCGGGCACAATTCCAGACTCCGTGCTAGTAGCACGGAGTCTGAGATTTCTTTTTAAAAAAACCCAGTAATAATCAACCGAGCATGCATGAAAAGACTGATGGACTGTTGATGAAGCGAAAGAGGTATATAAGAATCGTAGCAATTGGAGTTTCATACTCTCTGCCTACCCGCAAGTGAGACAGGGGTGAGGTTATATATACATGTATGTATGTATAAATACACTTTTTTTAAGGGGGGAAAATCATAGAATGTCTGCTCCCGCCTGTGTGAGGCGGGAGGGAGTGTCAGACTCTTACTGACTAAAAACCACCCCGTTCCTTCTCCTGCACGTCGAGCCGGAGCCCCGGTCACCCTTTAGGTTATCCGCATGTATAAATACACTTATAATACAATAACATACATAAAACACGAACACTCACCACTTAAGTAACAAACAATATAGAATTAACTTTTCTCAAAGCGTTTTGCTTAAAACATCGCAGAAAGCCTTAAGGCATCGAACAAATGTGTCCTTGATAGGTCGCAGCTGTTCTCAGCTGGCCGTAATTAAATTGGCCGACCCAATTTTTCATTAAAAATAATTAATACCGTATTAGTTCAGAATTTTAAGTAGATGAGACCTTTTTCGTCAGGAAAATTATTGTCTTTTCTAGCAGTGGTTTTGTACTTTATGATTATAAATGACTAGTTAATGTCCGCCTCTTCAACCACATGGAATAGTGACTTTGGATAGTTCTTCACAGCTCCTATTCTGTAGGTTATAGCGTGATAATAATTATGGAGCCTAAATGTTGAGAAGATCTGTTTGTAATATTCATGCAAAATTTGAAGTAAATCTATGCAGTATTTTTTAAGTTTAGCCCGGACATACATACATACAGACAGACAAAAATTCTGAAAATTACATTTTTGGTTTCGATATTATCGAGTGTAGATTACAGCCAGGTATTCTTTTAAAATAATATTTAATTGCTTTGTTAGCCGAGTGGTCGCAAGTGCGACTGCCGGGCAAGGGGTTTCGGGGTCGATTCCCGGGTCGGGCAAAGTACTACTGAGTTTTTATAAATTCTCAGTAGTAGCACGGAGTCTGGAATTGTGCCCAGTATATGGCAATAGGCTCCCCCCCTATTACATGGGACTCATAACATATGAAAAATGGGTGTTACATTGTTCTATTCAATCCTGAACGGTCACCTGTGACCGCTCTCCACTAACTCCATTATAGACTTTATTTCCAATGTTTAGAGACTACTTTTGTATGAACAAAAATTGGGGATTTTCGGTATGATATGTCAACATATTAAGCTAATTATAAGACCTTGACTCGGATCTTTGAGTAGGTTAACATAATTAAGTAATTTTTGGCTTCATCTAGAAACAGATATCTCACATCATTGCCTTATTATTGACTGATAGGGAGTGTTTAAGGCATTAGCTGAGACAGCTCTGATAGTGCTGTATATGTTTATAGCAGCACTATTTAGCAGATGTCTGTATGACATTCGGAGTACACGTTATGAAAAACGCTCATAATGTTATTAAAAATAATATAATATTATTCAGCCCTCCAATTTTCTAATCTCTGCTTATATGTCATCACATTCTTAACAAGGCATCGGCACGGCGTTTTTTGCTTTGGACAATATACAAAAACGTTGTAAGCGCTGTCGGCGCGCTGTCGGCGCGCGGGCGTCGCGCGGACAGCGCGCTTACAGTCTTTTTATATTGACGTCATACGACATACGATTTAAAGTTCATATTTAAATGGTAAGTTAACTGATGGGTTGGAGCCATGCTTGTTAGGTGTGCAATGTTCTTAATTCTTCAAAACAAAAACCAATTTGAAAAATATGTCATCTTAAACTCCTACCAATATAAAGGCACCCAGTACGAGACAAGACACATTAAATTTCGCTTATCATTAAACTTTACAATGATCAAAACTTCGAGTCTGTTTAATGGCCTATAAATACAGAAACTTGCTTTGTATTTTGCAATAAAGGAAGTCTTATTTTATGCCTAACTGAGGTAAAAGAATAAATAGATTGAACTGATCGTACAGAGTTTTATCCGATTATAAAAAATCGGTTGGTTTACTGGGAATATTGAAATCTGATCTTTCACGTTCGTATGATTAATTTTATATGAAAGTGAAATATTGACTACGTTTTTTTTTCTTATAATTTAAATATTTACTTGTTTAAAATGATGTCTTGATGTCAATTGTACGTTTTTTGTTAAAGAAGCCTTTTTTAAAAAGTTTTTTGTTTTCTACACACCACAAAACAATTGATTTTCCAACTTTAAAATGCTTAGTCATAGTTCGTTTTAGCACTTAATGTAAGAGAAACTACCAAAAATATAAAATTTCTGTTTTGCTTATTTATGAATTTTCATCTCAATTTAAACCTGTTTTGTTCCAGCCATCACGATGACAGCACACAAGCCAGCACTTTTTCTCCACACCATATTACTCCTAGCTACAATCCAAAAAATCCACACACTAGAAGACGGATACCTCAGATACGTCAAAGATGGCTGCTTTCTTAGAGGAGAAGCATTATCCTGTGTCAAATACAAAGCAGTGAAAATAGCTAAAAACGCAATATTTGGAGAAAATTTGAGTAAAAACGAGACAATTAAAGCTAACAATATAGTCAGTCTTGTACCTTTAGACGAAGAAACGATTGAAAAACTAGGAATCAAAGAAAATAAAGAAGCTAAAGTTGTAACTAATGAGCCGAGAGGATTTTTGTCAGAATGGGCGGAGCTTGCCAAGTATGTTATGAAGCTGGTCCAAGAATTTTTCAAGGTCAAAGGATTGAAAGTGAATCTCCCTGAAGGAGCCAGAACTGTAGAAGAAGTTGATGACAGTGGTAAGTTTATATCCTTTTATCTTAATATACGTCATTCAATTTAAAATGTGACTAAGAAACTTTGTGAAAGATACAGTACAGGTGCACTTGATGACCACTTTTACTTTTCTGGTCGATATGACTGAAAAGGTCAACGGCTTTGTGGACTTTCTAAACAATATAGAATGTATTTTTCTTTGCCTTTGGTCATTGGCCTGAGAATGGTATATTACTACATACCTAGTATAAAACAAAATTGCTATCCGTCGTCTGTCTGTCCCTTTGTATGCTTAGATCTTTAAAACTACGCAACGGATTTTGATGCGATTTTTTAACAGATAGAGTGATTCTTAAAGAAGGTTTATAATAATATGTATAATACATGAAAATTGGACCCATGCGAAGCCGGGGCGGGTCGCTAGTGAAATATAAGAGTCCGTAGCGATGTAAATCATTGGTCACCGCCAGTTTAAAAGGCAAGATACCAACTTTTATAAGGTTAAACGATTAAAACTAACAGTATCGAAAATGCCGCAAAAATAGTGGAAATTTTAAGATTTACCTACGACTTTTTAGAAAAATTCAATTTTTCACTAGTAATAAAGTAATAGTAGGAGTCTACCCCATTGGATTAGGGCAGGAAACTCAAACTTTTAACAGATTACAAAAGATATACATAAACAGAATAACAACCAAAGACAACTATTGACGTTTTTTTTTAATTTTCGCACACCATTCTATGAGTATCAATAACAAATTGCGTTTATCAATAGAGTTCTAATATAAATAATATAATTTTACTAGAAAGTAAAAGCATTTAACGGCCTTCATGATTATAAAGAAATGATGTCAAATACTTTACATACCTACAAACATTTAATAAGACTCAAAATACGTTGACAGAATAATAGTGAATTCGTTTGTCCTGTCAAAGGCATACATTTAATGCCCTTGTTCACTCAACGTGTAACTACATAGAAAATTATACCTTATTATATTTTGTTGGTACCTGTATTACATTTAATTTTGTACGTTGTTACTGTGTAGACTTTTTTGATTAGTCATTGTTTCGGTAATTGGTTTGTCTGTTTGTCTTTCTTGCATTGGTTAAATTATTGTTTGTTATATTTGTTACAGAACTAGATGATTTATAATGAAATACTATCATATTTACTGAATTATTATTAGACTGCCTCATTGGCCAACTGGTCGCAAGTGCGACTGCCGAACAAGGGGTATCGGGTTCGATTCCCGGGTCGGGCAAACTGTTACTGGATTTTTCAAAAATTCGTAGTAGGAGCACGGGGTCTGGAGTTGTGCCCGGTATATGGCAATAGGCTCGCCCCCTATTACATGGGACTGATAACATAAATAGTGAAACGTGAGTGTTACATTGTACAGTTGCATAATGTACACCTCTTCTTACCTCTTCGGGGATAAAAGGCGTGATGTTATGTTATGCTATGTTATTATTTAGTAAAAAAATCCAGAACATTTCTTCTTTTCTTTCGACCCGACTTATGTATAAAACTGAAAGTAACGATGAATTTGGCCTTAATACATTGTGCATTATCCTTATCATTACCCAAAAGCCGTCCACAATTGAACAAAGGCTCCCTCTAGTGGACCACACCGAATGATATATCTGCTACTTGCATCCAATGGCTACCCACAATTCTTTATTCGGAACATTAGTTGCAATAAGGACCGAAATTATTGGCCAATCTCAATCTAAAGCTTTTGGATTGATCAAGATTTTTAGTGGTAGGCCTATTAAGTGTCTACTATACATTGTCGGAGGCCCAACTACCCTCCCCCCCTCTTCCCCAATCTCCCCGATCCCCGAATCCCCAGTAATCCTCAGACTCCTAATCCCCAAAAGGCCGGTAACGCACTTGCAACGCCTCTGGTGTTCCAGATGTCCATGGGCGACGCCGATTGCTTACCATCAGGTGATCCGTCTGCTCGTTTACCGGCTTATGCCATAAAAAAAACTCACAATAAACCAGAGCTCGTTTGACATAACTTGTCAAATAATGTTGACTTTAACGAATTGAATAAAAAAGTCAATGGATTATTTGATGAAGAACTCGACTAGTCAGATAGCAGTCCGACAGTCGCCGCCTTATGAGTCACGGAATACCTCTACTGCTCCTGGATATAAGCCTCTAGTATGGCTTTTTTTAAGGGGGAAAATCATCGAATGTCTGCTCCCGCCTGGGTGAAGCGGGCGGGAGTGTCAGACTCTTACTGACTAAAAACCACCCCGTTCCTTCTCCTGCACATCGAGCCGGAGCCCCGGTTACCCGTTAGGTTCTCCGCGACTGCCTCTAGTATGGCTTGAAACCAGTTCAGGGCCCTTACTCTTGAAACCAATGTCAATGTCAATGCAATTTCAATCCAATATAGTCTCAATAATTATTCAATGTCAACACTATACAACCACAATCGTAGCTGTTACAATAGCATTCAGAGTACGGAATATAAAGACATACTCAATACCATTTAGTTCATTCAATATCCACGCAATACGGATGCAATGGGCGCTAGTGTTGCAACTCAAGAGTACGAAATTTCACAATACCAATGTCGATCGATCGGAATTGGATTCAAGAGTAAGCCCCCAGATCCTCGCCAAACTGTATGTTTGACGAGGTAAAGTAAAGTAGTAGTCTGAAGTAAAGTAGTTCAGTATGTATCAGAAAGTTATAATATAAAAATAAAAAAATTTTGCAAATCGCTTCACGCATCCCAGAGTTATGCGCGTACATACATACAAAAAAAAAAAAAAAAAAAAAAACAACATACCGGCCGAACGTATAACCTCCTCCTTTTTGAAGTCGGTTAATCAAACTATATAAGCGTAGCCAGTGCAAAAACTAGTCCAGAAGTATGTTTGACACATTTCTTTGGTTCATTACACTACAGATCAAAACCGCGATAAACGTTGATTTAATTTTATTTATTGTGTTTATGTAATATTGTCGACTAACACGAACATTGACCTTGAAAGCTTTAAAACGTTTGATAGTCAAAGAAAATTATGTTTTAAATGTAGTAGTAAAAAGTATAAAATATAATAAAACATTTAGGATGTCCATAAAGCTAGACGGCCTAACTTTACTGATGGTTTACTATAAAAAGGTGATAAATTACGTTTATTGTATGATTTTTATATATTTTTTATTCTTACTACCTTGACTCATTTGACTGTGTTATAATGTCTGAAGTTTTTAAACAGTTTTACTAGATTAACCTAAAAATCGTGGGTTACTCACGTGAATATACTGAGGAAAGCTCCACTAGTTTCGAGCCAAAGAGCGGGTTTACGTGAGTAGCCCACGGTTTTCAGTTGTTTTAGTATGTCTCAAGATATTATTAAAAAAAATAAGCATAACATAACTCAACGCCTTTTTATCTCTGGAATCCCTCCAGGCAGAGGTGCACATTACGGCACTTAATGCTACTGTACAATTTTCACTATTTATATTATGAGTCCCATGTAATAGGGGGTGAGCCTATTGCCATATACTGGGCCCAATTCCAGACTCCGTGCTACTACTGAGATTTTTTTTTAAAAACCCAATAATACTTTGTCCTTCCCGGGAAATGAACCCGAAATCCCTTGCCCGGCAATCAACTCTTGCGACCAAGTGCAAGTGTAAGCCTCGAACATAGGCGTAAGGTTGCAAGCCTTTCGGTTTTCTACCGGATACATTTCGGAGAGTGTGCGGGGGAATAGCAAAATTTGATTCTCCCTCATCATCATCATCAACAGCCGGAAGACGTCCACTGCTGGACCTCCCCCTTAGCCCTCCACGTCGAACGACAACTCGCCACCCGCATCCACTGGCTCCCCGCAACTCTGGCGATGTCGTCGGTCCACCTAGCGGGAGGCCTGCCCACGCTTCGTCTTCCGGTCCGTGGTCTCCACTCAAGGACTTTCCTGGCCCATCTGCCGTCAGTCCTTCGAGCGACGTGGCCTGCCCATTGCCACTTCAGTCTGCAGATTTTGCGAGCTATGTCGGTAACTCTTGTTCTTTGGCGAATCTCCATATTTCGGACTTTGTCGCGCAAAGAAACCCCGAGCATAGCTCTCTCCATCGCACGCTGAGCGATTTTGAGCTTCTCCAGAAGGCCAGAGGTCAGGGACCACGTCTCGGTACCATACGTCATCACCGGCAACACACACTTGTTGAACATCCTGGTCTTTAGGCACTGAGGGATTCTCCCTAGACCCAATAAATATAAAAAAACGAGGCAATAATTAAAAAATAATTAAATTTGTATTGTAACTTTCGTGAGACATACTAAATAAATTGATGAATATGAGCCTCTAGCATGGCTTAAAACTAGTCGAGTTCCTCGTCGAATTACTACGTGAGTAAGCCGAAAACATAATAAAATAATTAAAATTATTTTTTATTAAAAAAGCCAAATATGGAACAAGTCTACTTATTCATAAACAAATCAAGTTGTAAGCAGACAGCTATTAATAAGAACACTTCCATATTATTTGGCATCCTCCACGATCTTGCGTCTACACGTGCCAGTTATAAATATATTCGAAGAAACATTAACAATCACATCAATAATGTTATTGCTTCGACCTTCTCTTGCTTAGCCAAGGACATGTTATTACTTACCTCTTTTCCTTTTCAAAACACATCATTATGTATGTAGGTACTTTATTACTTAATGTTAGTATTTTTATATCATTCTCCATGTGATAGCCATAAGTGCCGTGGTGGCCCGAAGGTGGTTCAAAACCTACAAACGGCAAGTACGTGGCAAGTACCAATGTGACTTTTTCCGAGTTACATGTACTTTCTAAGATTATTTAGACACCACTGACAAACGGCGAAGGAAAACATTGTGAGGTAATCTGTACTTAACACATAACATAACATGACGCCTTTTATCCCCGAAGGGGTAGGCAGAGGTGCACATTATACCACTGTACAATGTAACACCCACTTTTCACTATTTATGTTATATGTCCCATGTAATAGGGGGTGAGC